TGCATTTGACCCCAAAAAGTTACTTGCTCATTTTTTCCCCCCCTCTGAAAACACCAAGCAGGTCTGACTGAAATAATGTTAGCTTATCCACTGCTTTATTTTATTACTTTTTTTTTTTAACATCCCATAGTGTAAGCAGTGAAACCTATTCTGATAGGAAAGGAAATTCCTGTTTGAGGCAAAGACCAGACAATTAGGATTGTTTTAAGGAGAAATTGGGGAGGTGGGCTTCATGGCTGACTCAAGAGCTGGCCAATCAGCTAGATCAGTGATGGCGAACCTTTCAGAGACCGAGTGCCCAAAACTGGCCCCGCTCCCACTCCGCCTGCCTGCAGGACCCACTCACCACCTGCAGGGCCCGCCACAGATCGCCCAGGCAGCCCAGCAGCGCCATGGTGGCCACACCCTTTGCCCGCGCCCTGCAGCATCAACTGTGCGCGATGGGGCATGAGGGCAGAGTCTTGTCTACGCTGCCTGGCTGCCATGTCCTTGGCTGCGCTGCTCCGCGTGGGCCACGCTCAGGGGCGACTCTCCTCCAGAGGGACTGCTGGTGATGAGGGGGTCATGGGAGGAGGCGAGACTGGGACAATGGCACGTGTGCCCACAGAGAAGGCTCCGAGTGCCGCCTCTGGCATGCGTGCCATAGGTTCGCCACCACTGAGCTAAATTATGGATCTATCCGGAGTTTGTTTATTAACCGAGGATCTTTTTTTCTACCATGGTCTGTGTTGTTTTTGCAAGCAGTGCTCCTAGAGTAAAATAAACCAGCAAAAAAAAGTGCAATAAACAGCATCATTGGAACATATGAAAAACCGTGTGCAGCCGTAGGCATTTAAAAGGGGCATGAAATAGAAATTGCAAAGGAAAACAAAAATCATCCATATTTAGACAGGGACTGTCTTGATAGCCAGTTGAGTCATCCCTACAGGTCGTTCTCGACTTAACAACGGTTCATTTAGTGACCGTTCCAAGTTGCCACATCGCTGAAAAAAGTGACTTATGATCGGGTTTCACGCATACGACCGTTGCAGCATCCCCATGGTCAGGTGAACAAAATTCAGACCTTTGGCAATTGACTCCTATTTATGACGGTCGTAGTGTCACGTGATCCCCTTTTGCGACCTTCCGACAAGCGAAGTCAATTGGGGGAAGCCAGATTCACTTAACAACCGGCTACTAACTTATCAATCGTGGTGATTCACTTAACAACTATGGCAGGAAAAGATTTAAAATGGGCCCAAACCTACTTAGCCACTATCTCACGTGGCAAGATAAATTTGGGGCTCCATTGTAGTCGTAAGTCAAGGACTTGCTACAAACTGGGACATTAATTGTTGGGTGTTGGTTGGAGACTTTGACTGTGTTTCTCTTGCTCGCAAAAACCTACGTTGGCTCAATCCAACTCTTTGATGGAAATCTCTTTGATCCGGATTGCAGACCACCTCGATTACGTCGCCCAGTGCTAAGCGACCGATCGCCCAGTTGGAGAAGTCCATCCAGGCTTCACCCAAGCTGATGAAGTTGGAAGAACATGAGTGCAGCGCTCGTGTAGTCTCCAGCAAGCAAGTTCAGGAGAAGGTCCTCACGTCTCCACCCCTTTTGTTGCGTGAATTGACCCCAGAGCAAGAGCAGAAAGAAGCTGCCAAATTGTTTGGGCCCAGGGAAGACTCACCTTCTGGGATCTATGAATCAGGTAGGAGGAGAAGCAACAATCACACAGGTTGAACCACGGGAAGACGATGAAAGGACTCCCTTCAAAGTGGACCTGGAATCGGAATCAGAATAGAGCTGGGAGGGACCTTGGAGGTCTTCTAGTCCAGCCCCCTGCTCAAGCAGGAGACCCTATACCATTTCAGACAAGTGGCTGTCCAGTTTCTTCTTAAAAACCATCCAATGATGGAGCACCCACAACTTCTGGTGGCCAGCTGTTCCACTGGTTAATTGTTCTCACTGTTAGGAGGTTTCTCCCTAATTCCAAGCTGCTTCTCTCTTTGATCAGTTTCTATCCATTGTTTCTTGTCTTGCCTTCCGGTGCTTTGGAAAATAAGTTGTGCCCCTCTTCTTTGTGGCAGCCCCTCAAATACAGGAATACTGCTATCATGTCCCCCCTAGTTCTTCTTTTCTCTAGACCAGAGGTCCTCATCCTTTTGGGCACCAGGGACCGATTCTGTGGAGAAAGTTTTTTCCACGGACTGGAGAGTGTGTGGTTTTGTGTGCTGCCTGCATCCCACAGGTGAGGCTTTGCTTGTTTGTGCGGACTGGTTGCTGGTCTGGTACTTGCCCACAGCCCGGGGGTTGGGACCCCTGAACTAGACTAACCAAACCCAAATCCTGATTTGACAACTGGAACAACTCAAGGCTTGCAAATTGTTGCACTTTGCGAGGTAGTCCAGACAGGAATCCAAAACCACAAGGACTAACCCTAATTTTATTATACAGGTAGTCCTCTACTTATGACCGTTTATTTAGTGGCTACTTGAAGTTACAATGACACAGAAAAAAGTGACATAGGAACGTTTTTCCACACTTACGACCGTGACAGTATCCCCGTGGTCACGGGATCAAAATTCCGACACTTGACAACTGACTTGCATTTATGACGTTTGCAGTGTCCTGGTGTGTGTGTGTGTGTCATGTGATCCCCTTTTGCGATCTCCTGACAAGCAAGTCAATGGGGAAGCCAGATTCACTTAACGACTGGGTTACTAACTTAACAACTGCAGTGTTTCACTTAACAACCGTGGTTCAAGAAAGGTCGTAAGATGGGGGGCCAAACTCATTTAACAACTGTCTCACTTAGCAGCGGAAATTTTGGGCTCAATTGTGGTTGTAAGCCAAGGACCACCCGTAAGGGTACAGTAATAGAAACTTGCAGATTTGAAAGCATGTCCCCTTCTTAGCTGTTACTTGCTCTAAAATATATAAGGAACGGGGCTGGAATTGGGTATGTCTAGTTTAATGAAGAGAAGGACGAGGGGGGACAGGATAGCCGTGTTCCAGTATCTCAGGGGCTGCCCCAAAGAAGAGGGAGTCAAGCTATTCTCCAAAGCCCCTGAAGGCAGGACAAGAAGCAACGGATGGAAACTAATCAAGGAGAGAAGCAACCTGGAACTAAGGAGAAACTTCCTGACACTGAGGACAATTAACCAGTGGAACAACCTGCCTCCAGAAGCAGTGAATGCTCCAACACTGGAAGTTTTTAAGAAGAGACTGGACAGCCATTTGTCCGAAATGGTGTAGGGTTTCCTGCCTGAGCAGGTTAGACTAGAAGACCTCCAAGGTCCCTTTCAACTTTATTATTATTATTGTTATTGTTATTGTTATTACCATTATTATTATTATTATTATTATTATTATTATTATTATTATCATCATCATCATCATCATCATCATCTAGGGAGGGTCCCTCCCGAGGTGCTTTCTCCACTCCCATTCCTTCTGAGGGCCATCTTTCCTCTTATCCAGCCATTGAGCTATGGATCTTCCCCCTGCCTCCCGAGGGGATTCTCACAGCCCTTCACACACCAATGGGCCAGTCCAAAACCTCAGATGCTCCCGGCCTCCAGGATGCTAAATAAGGAAGACTCGGTCCATTGTGTGGCATTCACACTTGTGTTTTTCTGCAGAGGTCGCCAGTATTGTGATCAGTAGTTCTGAAGACACTGAAGATGACGCTATGGTGAGTGTGACAAGGAGGTCCTTGCCCTTCCGGACTTGTGAGGCCTTTAGATAGTGCTCCTCAACTTTGGTTGTTGGAAGATATGTGGACTTGAACGTGCAGAATTCCATGCAGACGGGGGAATTCTGGGAGTTGAAGTCCACACCTCTTCCGAGTTGCCAAGGTTGAGAAATACTGCTCGAGATATGGTTTGACTACATTTCTCATCATCCCTGTTGACGCAACAGGGAGAGTGTAGCCGTAACAGCCCTGGAATTCTGGGGTATGTAGTCACAACAGCCCTGGAGTTCTGGGAGTTGTAGTCACAACAGCCCTGGAATTCTGGGGTTTGTAGTCACAAAAGCCCTGGAATTCTGGGATATGTAGTCACAAAAGCCCTGGAGTTCTGGGAGTTGTAGTCACAACAGCCCTGGAATTCTGGGGTTTGTAGTCACAAAAGCCCTGGAATTCTGGGGTTTGTAGTCACAAAAGTCCTGGAATTCTAGGATATGTAGTCACAAAAGCCCTGGAATTCTGGGAATTGTAGACATAATAGTCCTGGAGTTCTGGGGTATGTAGTCGCAAAAGCCCTGGAGTTCTGGGAGTTGTAGTCACAACAGCCCTGGAGTTCTGGGAGTTGTAGTCACAACAGCCCTGGAGTTCTGGGAGTTGTAGTCACAGCCCTGGAATTCTGGGTTTTGTAGTCACAAAAGCCCTGGAATTCTGGGATATGTAGTCACAAAAGCCCTGGAATTCTGGGAATTGTAGACATAATAGTCCTGGAATTCTGGGGTATATAGTCGCAAAAGCCCTGGCATTCTGGGAGTTGTAGTCACAACAGCCCTGGAATTCTGGGATATGTAGTCACAAAATACCCTGGCATTCTGGGAGTTGTTGTTACAAAAGCCCTGGAATTCTGAGGTACGTAGTCACAGCAGCCCTGGAGTTCTGGGAATTGTGGTCAACACTGGGAAAGTCTGGTGCTCTTTTGGTCTGATCCGGTAAAATTGGTTTGAGATTTCTGTTTGTTTGTTTTCTTCCAGTGACGATCTGCTTGTTCCAGACCGGTTTCCAGTAAGCTGAGCCTGACTTAGCAGTCGCACGATGGATGTGCAATTGGCACTTTTCTCCTGTGCTTCTGCTAATGACATCCCTGAAGAGTGGACAGCTGCCTCATAGCCCCAATTCGGAGCTGTTGTTTCACTCCGGGGCCTTTGAATCATGGAAAAGGACTGTCTATCTTTTTCCTTGCGCACAGTTTTAGCCAGCCTGTAATTACAAGCACTGAATCATGCATTGCTAATCTTCTCCGGATCCACAGGCCTTCCGTGGGGGGCACCGAACAAAAATATTTTATCTCTCCGCTCAGCTTCTGAGTTTTGCTACCTGCCTGTTCTGCTAAGAGTTTCTTCCAAATAATCTTAGGGGGTTTTTTGCCTGCTTTATAGCTCAGTAACTAGAGGAATAAAATGTGTGTGTGTGTGTGTGCGCTGCCTTGAATTTTTTTGTAAAAAATAAATAAAAAGGAAAATAAATAAACAGGTTTTACAAGCTAATTTCCCCCAATATGCTAAGCCCAAAGCAAATAAAGCACATTATGACTGACTATCCTGTTTTGTGAACTTTCCATCTTGTTTGTGTGGTGTAAAGACAAGAAACAGCAGGTGGCGCTCTAACACAAGAAGAGTTTACTTGCCTTGCCTTGGTGCCTCAAAAGAGCAGAATACAACAGATACAGGAGAATATTGGAGACGTTTCATTACCAAACTAGGTAACATCATCAGTGCTAGAAGGGAGTGGGGTTTGCAGAGAAGAGGAAGAGGAGAAGGAGGAAGAGGCGGTCTGTGGGGTCCTCGGTGCTCTCTGAGCTTGGTTGTTTTCTTGCAGACGTTTCATTACCAAACTAGGTAACACCATCAATATACTGGGGTCATTAAGTGAATCACACAGACGTTAAGCAAATCTGGCTTCCTCTATTGGCTTTGCGACTTACTCGGAAGATCGCAGATGGTGACCACATGACCCAGAACGCTGCAATCTTCGTAAATAAGTACATGCTGGTTGCCAGGTGCTCAAATTCTGCTCTCGTGACCATGGGGGCACAATGGATGTAGGTCCGAGGACCGGTCGTAAATCAGCATTATCGGCACTGTCACAACTTCAAATGGTTACTAAATGAATGGCTCTGAATTGAGGACTATTTGTATCCTCGTCTGTATGGAAAAGGGGCATCCGTGTTCTCAAACCGCCTCGGCAGAGTAGTCACCCACCAGTTGCATGGACTTCAATGCCCAGAATTCTCAGCGATTGCCCTGCCAGCTAGGGAATTCTGGGAAGTGAAGTCCATATCCTGGATCTGTTCAGATGGGGCGAAGCTGTGCTAAAGCACTGCTTCCCAGTTGCAGTTTTCAAAAATATTTTCTATGAAACAATTTGGATCGCTTCAGTCTTACAGGGTGAGTAGAAAACAGACTTTTGCCGCTACTAAGATTGTCGGACGAGCAGGCTCAAAAACAGCCAGGGAAGTGATTGAAGCCTGGGAAACGGGAGTGCTGATTTACCATCAGCTTATCAAGTACTTGGGAGGTGAGGGCTTGGCAGCACGAGGAAACAACGGCCAACGACTTAATAGCCAGCCATTAACACCCCAATCGACAACTAAAAAACCACATACCGGTACAACAGGCACCATATAAATAACTTATAAGAGTTCACTTAGTGACCGAAGTTAACAATGGCACTGAAAAAAGGGATACGACTGTTTTTCACAGTTAACTACCATTGCAGCATCTCCATGCTCACATGAACAAAATCCAGAGCCTTGGGTACTGACTCTCATTTATGACCATTACAGTCTGAGGTCACGTGATCCCGTTTTGTGGCCTTCTGACCAGCAAAGTCAATGGGAAAACCAGATTCACTTAACAACCGCGTTACTAATTTAACAACTGCAGTATTCACTTAACAACTGTGGTCAGAAAGGTCCTACAATGGGGCAGAATTCACTTAACAACCAAAATTTGGGGCTCGATTGTGGCCGTAAGTCAAGGTCTACCTGTACCACACATACCCATGCTGCTAGAGAGACGTTCCCCGAGGATGGACTCCAGCACCAGAACAAAAACTCGAAAGACTAAATCTCTGGTCCTGGCAACTGACCCAGATTGGATCCTGCAAATATTATCCGGGGACATGTAGATTTGCCTTCATTCGTGAGAAAACAGGCTGGATGTTGATGGGTGAATCTGCAGTGGCCATATTGAAATATGCATGACGTAGAGCTGGAATGTGTAAAACCTACATCTACAATGAACACTATTATAAATATTTGGAGGAGTTGAGAGGCTGGGCCAAGAATTTTTCCTGGATGCTGTAGTTAAGAATAAGAATAGAATAGAATAGAATAGAATAGAATAGAATAGAATGTAGAATAGAACAGATTATAGAATTAGAATAAAATTAGAATTAGAACAGAATAGATTGTAGAATAGAACAGATTATAGAATTAAAATAAAATTAGAATTAGAATTAGAATTAGAATAGAATAGAATAGAATAGAATAGAATAGAATAGAATAGAGCTGGAAGGGACCTTGGAGGTCTTCTAGTCTAGGCCCCTGCTGAAGCAGAAGAACCTATACCATCTCAGACAAGTGACTGTCTAGTCTCTTCTTAAAAACCTCCAGTGATGGAGCACCCACAATTTCTGGAGGCAAGCTGTTCCATTAGTTAATTGTCCTCACTGTCAGGAAGTTTCTCCTTAGTTCCAGGTTGCTTCTCTCCTTGGTCAGTTTCCAACCATTGTTTCTCATCCTTCCCTCTGGTGCTTTGCAGAATAACGTGACCCCCCTCTTCTTTGTGGCAGCCCCTCAAGTACTGGAAGACTGCTATCATGTCTCCCCTATTTCTTCTTTTCTTTAGACTAACCAAACCCAAGTCCTGCAGCCGTTCTTCGTATGTTTTAGTCTCCAGGCCTTGGATCATCTTAGTTGCTCTTCTCTGAATTTTATTTTAATTGCCCCCGATCATTGCCCCAGATCATTCGAGTGAAGAAGGCGTGAGCATTTTAAATTGCCTGTAAAATAACAGTTTACCTTTCGGAGCCGTAAATAGCACTGCCAGTTTGAACTAATCCTCTGAAATGGCAGCTGTAATATTCAGCCAGCTCGATTTGCAGCGATTAATTATGCATTGCTTAATTTAAACGGTTCTCAACAATCTCTGCAAGAGCCGGTGGCAGAGTTTCGTTCGCAGCGCAAAAATCCACTGCATTTATGAAAATTGATTTCACTCGTTCGCCTCCCCTTTCCCGAAGTAATGAAAGCCGAGGGGCACAGTTTAGGATTTAATTTATGCCGCCTGATTTCAACGACATAAATTCTCAGTGAAGTTAGCTCAGAGAAGCAGTTAGCTTTGTAACTGGCTTATGCTTCTAATCAAAAGCCTTTATTCAAATATTGGGATGAGTCCCTACTGACCAAGGACAGCGGCTTGCAAGCCACTGTTGTCCCAGAAAACCTTTGAATAGAATAGAATAGAATAGAATAGAATAGAATAGAATAGAATAGAATAGAATAGATTGTAGAATATAATAAGATAGAATAGATTGTAGAATAGAATAGAATAGAATAGAATAGAATAGATTGTAAAATAGAATAGATTGTAGACTAGAATAGGATAGAATAGATTGTAGAATAGAATAGAACAGAACAGAACAGATTGTAGACTAGAATAGGATAGAATAGATTGTAGAATAGAATAGAATAGAATAGAATAGAATAGAATAGAATAGAATAGAATAGAATAGAATAACAGAGTTGGAAGGGACCTTGGAGGTCTTCTAGTCCAACCCCCTGCTCGGGATATGGTTATGCCCGGTGTGTAATGCCCAATAAACCAGACACAATGAGGTGGAGATTTGCAAAAACTTTACAGATGGTCCTCGACTTACAAAAATTTGTTTAATGACCGTTAAAGTTACGACGGCATCCCCATGACCGTGTGATCAAAATTCACATTTGACTGCTTGATTGTGGGTCTGACCTTCATCCTGGTGTTTGTCTCTGGTGGTGCTGGTGGCTGAATCATTAAAGGAATCAACTCAGAGTTCTTGCTCAAGGAACAAACAAATGGCCAGGTTCAAATAATCCTACTTGGGACACCTTATGTGAAGATCCGGCTCTCTGGAGAAGGCTTTGATGTTGGCAATGGTGGAAGGAAAGAGAAGAAGAGGACCACCAACAGCAAGGGGGATGGACTCCAATACAGCGGTGATGGTGGAAGACCTGAAGAACCAAATTAGGGACACATCATCGGGGGGGGGGGGAATCTATGTGGTTGCTAGGAGTAAAAAAAATGACCTCATGGCACATAATCAGTCAATCTATCAAATCCCACAGGAATTCATTTCTCTCTGTAAAGTAAACCAGTATTTCTCAACCTTGGTGAGTTGAAGATGGGTGGACTTCATCTCCCAGAATGCCTCAGCCAGCTGTGCTGTCCACCCATCTTCAAGTCGTCAAGGTTGAGAAACAGTGAGGCAAACCATTTGGATTATAGTGAAGTGGAAGAAACGAGAAAATTAAAAGGTGGCGGATTTCTTCTGCCCTGCAAGTCAATGAAATGACTCTTAACTTTTTCCAAAATAGATACGATTTCCAAAAACAACAAATCATAAAGCGCAGGAATAGGTAGGTGGCTGGAGAATTCTGGGAGTTGAAGTCCACCCATCTTCAAATTGCCCAGGTTGGGAAACACAGCATCAGCACCTTGAGTTGTGAGAGTAGAAGGAAGGCCTTTGTGTCATCAGCCTGCGCGTGTTGTTTTGGCATCACTGCAGTCTGCTACAGAGGCATTGTGGGTGACTGGGCCAACCACCAGGAGACCGTGAGTTCTAGTCTTGCATTAGGTATGAAAGCCAACTGGATGACTTTGGGCCAATCACCAGGAGACGGGGAGTTCTAGTCTTGCCTTGGGCACAAAACCCTGCTATCTGATTTTGGGCTAATTACCAGAATACAGTGAGTTCTAGTCCCGCCTTAGGCACGAAAGCTGACTGGGTGACCAGGAGATGGGGAATTCTAGTCTTGCCTTGGGTACGAAAGCCAGCTGGGTGAATTTGGGCCAGTCTCTCTCTTTCTCAGCCCAACCCACCTCACAAGGTGGTTGTGCTGGGGAAAATAGGAGGAGGAAGGCGTATCAGATACGGCCAAATAAATAAAAATAAAAAAGCCTACCCCATGGACCCAGCCCCTTGCACCTATTTTAATTTCAAAGGATGGTGCGAGGGGGGCAGTTAAGAGACTTTGGGCCACCAAGGCAGGAAAGTGAAAGGGGGAACCCAGCCGAAGAAACCCTCGTTTGTTCTGATTTGAATTCAGGATAGAAAAATCAGAGGGAGCAAGGGAGAAAACCGCTGCAGCCCCAGCAGAGGAAGAACAAGCATAGCGGGACGTTCAGATGATTGTCTAGAAGATTTTCCCCTTCGTCTGGATCCTGGCTTTCCTGCCACAGCTGCCCAGTTAAAGGAGGAGGAGGAGGAGGAGGGTAACAATACCTACTCCGTCCTTACCTACTCCGTCCTTGCTTGGGCTGGGCAGAGGGGGAG